TATGATATACAAAAGGGATAAAGTGTATGAAAAACATAATGACCAGAAGGACCCTGATTTTAAATGTAAAAAGGTTATAATGTATACAAGGAATAAAGTGAATAAAAATGTAAACATAAATGACCAGAAGGACCCTGGTTGTAAAAGGTTATAATATATACAAGGGATAAAGTGTGTGGTCATGTAAACATAATGAGTAAAAGGACCCTGGTGTGTAAATGCTTCATTGTATACAGGTGATGAAGATTAGTGTGTGAAAATATATACATAATGACCAGAAGGACCCTGGTGTGTAAAGGTAATATTCCATACAAGGGATAAAGTGTGTGAAAATGGTTATAATATATACAAGGGATGAAGTGTGGGGGAATGTACTCATAGTGACCAGAATGACCCTGGTTGTAAAATGGTTTTAATATATAGCAGATATAAAGTGTGTAAAAATGTGCACACAGTGACCAGAAGGACCCTGCTTGTAAAAAGGTTATAATATATTCTAGGGATAAAGGGTGTGAAAATGAACACATAATGACCAGAAAGGACCCTTGTTTATAAAGTTTATGATATATAAAAGGGATAAAGTGTATGAAAAACATAATGACCAGAAGGACCCTGATTTTAAATGTAAAAAGGTTATAATGTATACAAGGCATAACGTGAATAAAAATGTAAAGCCTAAATGACCAGAAGGACCCTAGTTGTAAAAAGGTAATAATATATACCAGGGATAAAGTGTGTGAAAATATACCCTTATTGACCAGAAGGACCCTGGTTTTAAAATGGTTATGATATATACCAGGGATAAAGTGTGTGAAAATGTACACACAATGACAAGAAGGACCCTGGTTGTAAAATCGTTATACACTAATTAATTAAGAATATAAACTTCGCTTGTGGTTGTCTTTTATTGCATGCATGCGCTTCTAAGATCAAAGGATGTATAGTGTGAAAAGTTAACTAGTTGAACAATCGTATTTCCGGGACTTGCCGCGGATGTTTTCAAACAGATTATTAGAACTCCATTCAGCGATAAACGGTTGATTATGCAATGAGAAGCGTTATGTGCAAATGAACAACGAACAACAATACAATTAGTGTAAAACTCTCAGTAATAAAAGTGTACATAAATTTGGGGAGCCATGTGTTACCGCGCGTAGTAACCGAGGTAGCGCTTTATCGAAGAGCGCAATAGCGAGCGATCACTGTAGTATACTCGGACCCTGTGGTACCGCGGCATTCATCGTATCGCGGCATTTGTGATTTCCGGTCGTTCACGCGGGACACGCCTCTTAGTGGCTGTCTATTAATGCAAATCAATAACCAGGAAGTGCTCACTTCGTAAACAATTTCAATTTCCTCGGAATGTTCCGTCTGCTGTAAGTAAGGAGTTACCAATGAGATGATACTTACTTCTGGCATTTTTTTTAATATTGCCTTACCCCCACCTATCAATGGCCAACGATGTAACCCGCAGTTGCCCAAGTAAACTTTCTCTATGGACCTGAACTAGATCATCTGCATATTCAGGGCGAGTAATAAGGTAACGGAAATTACGTAGTCCGCACATTTTCTCCCACTCTGTGCCCAGATTCTATTGGGAGATCATAAGGGCCATGATGCCAAACTTAGAAATACGTTCTTCGCTTGTAGCCATAAGATAAATGCATACTTTGGGCATAGTAGGAGTGCTTTTTATATATTTATTGTTGACTTTTAACATTTTTCCATTTTGTGACAAATAATGGTCATCCAATTTTTTTTTAAACACTCTTAGAATATCATTTGTTTTTTTATTGTTACTTTTTTACAATATTTTTCTCTTACTTTTCGCTAAATATGCATTGAATACATATTACTGATAACACATTTAGAATTTTACTTGTGCTGTCTTTGCACTTGTCTGGACAAATCACTGATGTCTGGCATGATCATACTAAGTGGTTGGCAGAATTATGTCCACTTTTTGTCCAATTCGGACCTCCATACACAACTTTTCTTTCTACCGCGATACTATGGAGTTCTCTCCCTTGTCCCACTGAGCGCGAGGCCCGGCTTTTACTCGGAGCTACTAATGTAAATAATGAACTTTTATCAGTAAAATATGCATTGTTAGATCAAATAAATGACATCTGATTAAGAGAACACGAATAATCATAAAGGTTAGTGAGCGCATAGTGAGGGATAAAGTGTGTGATGAGTAGAAGGACCCTAGTTGTAAAAAAGTTATAATATATTCTAGGGATAAAGTGTGTGAAAATATATACATATTGACAAGAAGGACCCTGGTTGTAAAATCGGTATAGTATAAACCAGGGATAAAGTGTGTGAAAATGTACACATGACGAGTAGAAGGACCCTAGTTGTAAAAAGTTATAATATATTCTAGGGATAAAGTGTGTGAAAATATACACATAATGACCAGAGGGACCCTGGTTGTAAAATCGGTATAGTATAAACCAGGGATAAAGTGTGTGAAAATGTACACATGACGAGTAGAAGGACCCTAGTTGTAAAAAGTTATAATATATTCTAGGGATAAAGTGTGTGAAAATATACATATAATGACCAGAGGGACCCTGGTTGTAAAATCGGTATAGTATATACCAGGGATAAAGTGTGTGAAAATGTACACATGACGAGTAGAAGGACCCTAGTTGTAAAAAGTTATAATATATTCTAGGGATAAAGTGTGTGAAAATATACACATCATGACAAGAAGGACCCTGGTTGTAAAATGTTTATAATATATACCAAGGATGTGAAAATGTACACATGATGAGTAGAAGAACCCTGGAGTGTGAAGAACATACAGATCTTATAGATACAGGGGGTAAAGATAGATTTGTGAAAATGTACACAAACTGACCAGAAGGTCCCTGGTGTAAACAGGATTTAATACATACAGGGAATAAAGATAAGCATGGATACCTAATGACCAGTATTGGTAAAATGTACACATAAACACATCAAGGTCCCTGGTCTATATAGCTTATATATATCAAGACACATTTACACTGTTTGAACACTGAATCACTATTAGATCGTTGTGTATAAAGACAATTATGCATAAAATAATAGAAGTTGAGCTTGTGCCTATGTCTACAAAATAAAGCTCTTACAAGTTTTACTTCACAAAAGATACACATATGCTTGATGATACAATGACAAATAATACAAGATCCCTGGCGCCTTCTATTAACTGTTATTGAATGACTTATTAAGTGTATAGTTTAATTTGTGAAAATGTCTTCGCTTTTTATATCCTCTACTTGGTTTAAACAACAACGCGCATAACACTGAAAGCATAACTTATCAATAAATCAGTTAATAAGATATGAATGTGAATAACTAGTGTCGATTATGTGCCATTGTATGTAGTCTATGTTCTGTATCTGTGAACGTTATCCATGCTACCATGTATTTTCTTATCATAATCAAACAACGGACAGTTGGCCAAGAGATAACCTCGAGACTAGACAGCTACATAGCCAGATAAAACTATAAGCCTGAATATTTATTTTAGTATTTGTTATGGCAGGCAATTTCTTTCTTTTTTCAACAGTCTCACGCATAATTATTTTTTTCCAAGAATTTCGGGGACAATTTATTTCTTTGTTAAAATCCTAGCCCCCCTCCCACCAGAATATCAAATCAAATTCGGGATAATCTATAGCTTAAAGCATACTATTGCCTATTATTTTCTATATTGACAATCTATTTTAAGAAGAAAATCTGTGGACTGAGATTTGAGTTTCCGGGAATGTTCATGGTGGTCTGGGAACGACGTCATGTCAATATTTCATGAGACGTTGTCGGACACATAGGTCTGATATCGATGAAAAGTAGAAAGCGAATATTCTCAAAGACATGTCATTATTGAAATTTAACCACCTATGTTTGAAAAACATGTGAGCTTATATTACCTTGTCAATAAATGAACATAAACAATATTCTTGATAGCATTATGTTTTGGTCAATGCTCAAATTCAGTATGTAACACAGATTTGTTCTTGTAATTTCTTTTATAGTCTGTCTTACAGACCCTGATACAAATATATATCAAATACAGCCCATGCAAGTCTATAATGTTTGGCAAGTCTAGATCACTGCAGTATCAGGAATGAAGAGTGTCACTGGGCTCCTTTTTATTATATTTTTATTAAGATAACTAAACAACTGTTTTTTTATGTACGATATGTTCATTTCAGAGACTAGATTTTAGTCTATTTCTTTTATCAACAAAGAGGTAGAACAAAATGTATTCCCTTGATTTTCATTTTCCCATTTGATAAAAATGAAAGTAACCCGAAATGTCCTTTCAGGTAGAAATCTCTCAAGACGTATAAATAATATTTTGTTATAAATTGTGTCATTTAAAAGTTGAAAGTTCTGCTGTCTTTCAGTTCTACGTTTCGATACAAGTGATTTCAGTTCACGAAAGGATAAAAATGTAAAAGACCGACGCCTTCTAAAATTTAACATTGTGATAAATAAACACAAGTGTACATGTATGAAAAACAGTTTGATGATGACGATTGTTTACGTGTTAAGGCATTTCATAACTTTTCATTTACAGCTGTCATTAAGTTGCATGTAGATACATCTGCCCTACTAGCCTTAATATAAGGTGCGAAGGTGGTAAACTTTCCACCCACATTAGGCTGACACGCTGTGATATAACTGGAATAGTGTTCAATTCAGTCCGTCACTTTAATGTTAGTTAGGTACAGCATCGTGAGCCAGCGAGGCACATAAAATATCTGCATATCACATGCGTGTGTTACTTCCCTTGAATGACGCTTGACCTCGCACAAAGATTATACCATCGTGCTACTCGATTTCTTCCTTGTTTGGGAGGTAGACAACTCATTGCCGAATTGAAGCAGCATTATTGTATTTGTACATATAGCCGATAAATTATTCGTGATAAAAATGCAAAATAGCATGGTTTATGTCGCATAAGAAGAATAAAAACAAATATAAACACTGCCTTAAATTACCTCGATTTTGCAATTGCCACGTCGTTACCTCACACCAGATGCATTTTCTCATCTCTAGACAAGTAACAAACATAAATGGAATATCACATAAATGTAATTACGCAGGTAGGCAAATATATGCATTCACTTTGCCGTCTGGTAGCATTATCATTAAAGCGAAAGTAGGAAGCATCGATCGCCATTTGCAAATGTTCCACTTCAAACAGAGAAAGTATTCCGATATGTATAGCTGTCACCAATATGCTGGAGTATGGTATCCATAGTAAACATTCATCAGGGAAGGTTTGAACGCTTTCTTTTGTTAAATTTATGTCGGTATTTAGCTGTAATATTTTCCTGATTTAACAAAGAAGGCAATCAATATAACTCTTACACCTCTATATGCGCTGTAATACAGATGTCGACAGGTTAATTGTTTACTGTTCACATATCGAACAACCGTTTTACCTTCCACCAAATAGTTATGTTATATTTGGCTATTCCTGCGCAGTTGGAATGTAACATGTTGGACATTGACTTGTTCATTGTGTAAACTATCACACTTCTTTGCCACGACGATCTGTGATACCTTACCTCTTCCTGAGAATCCAGGGTGTAGAAATATATGGGAATTGACACAAGAAATGGTAAAACGGTGCGCTAACGCCCCTCCAACGTCTGTGAATATGATAACATATCGTTCAGCTCCTGGAATCGAAAGTGACAGTAGATATGACTAACCAATCCGATGGGTGAGTATTTTTAGCAAGGGAAAAACCCAGCGACAACGTTTAAATAGCACATGCTACGCAGTTACGGTAGCCATGTTTGTTGCGAATTAAATAAAGCCCTCAACCAAAAACCTGCACATACCAGAGTCAAGTCATATTTTGTATCTACTTGATAATCTGTCTATTGGAATATATCCCGGTCACGTTGAGATGTTCCTCGAGAATTGTGTTCTTTTGCAAGGAGACCAGCTTGTACTCAAGGACTAAATAGTCTCCCTGATATGTTTACACACACATGCAGCTTGGTTTACAAATCACCAGCCTGTCCGCTGTCAACATCCAACATGTTAAACAAATGTGTGTATATATGTACTACTCAACATTTGCTGAAGATGAATCTGTTGGTCCTGAGCAAATGCTGTGTAGTATATATTTATGAATTGAGTGGATTCAATCTGAAAACTCTCAACAGTAGCTCCTCTCTCAAGAAAGAAATACTTCTGCTGTGAAAGCATGAATTATAGTTTAAGGCATCATGAAAAAATAAATACATAGATTAAACCAGATAGGGATTTAGAGAGACATCACGTGTACATGGTGAAGATCAAAGTAAGTATTTGGATGCCAATAACCAATGCCAGTGTAATGATGCAATACCCATGTGTATTTCAGATGCATGCCATGTGTATTTGTCAGATGAATGACATATGTATTTGACAGATGCATACCATATGTATTTGTTTGATGCAATATCCATGTGTATTTGTCGGATGCATGTCATATGTATTTGTCAGATGAATGCCATGTGTATTTGTCAGATGAATGACATATGTATTTGTCAGATGCATACCATATGTATTTGTTTGATGGAATATCCATATGTATTTGTCAGATGCATGTCATATGTATTTGTCAGATGAATGACATATGTATTTGTCAGATGCATACCATATGTATTTGTTTGATGAAATATCCATATGTATTTGTCTGATGAATGCCATGTGTATCTGTCAGATGAATGACATGTGCATTTGTCAGATGCATGTCATATGTATTTGTCAGATGAATGACATGTGTATTTGTCAGATGCATGCCAAATGTATTTGTCAGATGCATGTCATATGTATTTGTCAGATGAATGACATTTGTATTTGTCAGATGAATGCCATGTGTATTTGTCAGATGAATGCCATGTGTATTTGTTAGATGAATGACATGTGTATTTGTCAGATGTATGCCATGTGTATTTGTCAGATCATTGACAAAGGTATTTGTCAGATGCATGTCATATGTATTTGTCAGATGAATGACATGTGCATTTGTCAGATGCATGTCATATGTATTTGTCTGATGAATGCCATGTGTATTTGTCAGATGAATGACATGTGTATTTGACAGATGCATGCTATGTGCATTTGTCAGATGCATGCCATGTGCATTTGTCAGATGCATGCCATGTGCATTTGTCAGATGCATGTCATGTGCATTTGTCAGATGCAGTCCATGTGCATTTGTCAGATGCACTCCATGTGCATTTGTCAAGATACATTCCATATGCATTTGTCAGATGAATGACATGTGTATTTGTCAGATGAATGACATATGTATTTGTCAGATGCATGTCATATGTATTTGTCAGATGAATGCCATGTGTATTTGTCAGATGAATGATATGTATTTGTCAGATGCATCCAAATGTATCTGTTTGATGCAATATCCATATGTATTTGTCAGATGCATGTCATATGTATTTGTCAGATGAATGACATATGTATTTGTCAGATGCATACCATATGTATTTGTTTGATGCAATATCCATAGGTATTTGTCTGATGAATGCCATGTGTATTTGTCAGATGAATGATATGTGCATTTGTCAGATGCATGTCATATGTATTTGTCAGATGAATGACATGTGTATTTGTCAGATGCATGTCATATGTATTTGTCAGATGAATGACATATGTATTTGTCAGATGCATGCCATGTGTATTTGTCAGATGAATGACATGTGTATTTGTCAGATGTATGCCATGTGTATTTGTCAGATGTATGCCATGTGTATTTGTCAGATGAATGACATATGTATTTGTCAGATGCATGTCATATGTATTTGTCAGATGAATGACATGTGTATTTGTCAGATGCATGTCATGTGTATTTGTCAGATGAATGACATGTGTATTTGTCAGATGTATGCCATGTGCATTTGTCAGATGAATGACATATGTATTTGTCAGATGCATGTCATATGTATTTGTCAGATGAATGACATGTGTATTTGTCAGATGCATGTCATATGTATTTGTCAAATGAATGACATGTGTATTTGTCAGATGCATGCCATGTGTATTTGTCAGATGAATGCCATGTGTATTTGTCAGATGAATGCCATGTGTATTTGTCAGATGTTTGCCATGTGTATTTGTCAGATCATTGACAAAGGTATTTGTCAGATGCATGTCATATGTATTTGTCAGATGAATGACATGTGCATTTGTCAGATGCATGTCATATGTATTTGTCAGATGAATGACATATGTATTTGTCAGATGCATGTCATATGTATTTGTCAGATGAATGCCATGTGTATTTGTCAGATGCATGTCATGTGCATTTGTCAGATGCAGTCCATGTGCATTTGTCAGATGCACTCCATGTGCATTTGTCAAGATACATTCCATATGCATTTGTCAGATGAATGAAATGTGTATTTGTCAGATGAATGACATATGTATTTGTCAGATCATTGACAAAGGTATTTGTCAGATGCATGGCGTATGTATTTGTCAGATGAATGACATGTATTTGTCAGATGCATCCACATGTATTTGTCATATGTATTTGTCAGATGAATGCCAGATGTATGTCATATGCATCTGCCATATGCATTTGTCAGATGCATGTCATGTGCATTTGTCAGATGCAGTCCATGTCCATTTGTCAGATGCACTCCATGTGCATTTGTCAAGATACATTCCATATGCATTTGTCAGATGAATGACATGTGTATTTGTCAGATGAATGACATATGTATTTGTCAGATGAATGACATGTGTATTTGTCAGATGTATGCCATGTGTATTTGTCAGATGTATGCCATGTGTATTTGTCAGATGAATGACATATGTATTTGTCAGATGCATGTCATATGTATTTGTCAGATGAATGACATGTGTATTTGTCAGATGCATGTCATGTGTATTTGTCAGATGAATGACATGTGTATTTGTCAGATGTATGCCATGTGCATTTGTCAGATGAATGACATATGTATTTGTCAGATGCATGTCATATGTATTTGTCAGATGAATGACATGTGTATTTGTCAGATGCATGTCATATGTATTTGTCAAATGAATGACATGTGTATTTGTCAGATGCATGCCATGTGTATTTGTCAGATGAATGCCATGTGTATTTGTCAGATGAATGACATGTGTATTTGTCAGATGTTTGCCATGTGTATTTGTCAGATCATTGACAAAGGTATTTGTCAGATGCATGTCATATGTATTTGTCAGATGAATGACATGTGCATTTGTCAGATGCATGTCATATGTATTTGTCAGATGAATGACATATGTATTTGTCAGATGCATGTCATATGTATTTGTCAGATGAATGCCATGTGTATTTGTCAGATGCATGTCATGTGCATTTGTCAGATGCAGTCCATGTGCATTTGTCAGATGCACTCCATGTGCATTTGTCAAGATACATTCCATATGCATTTGTCAGATGAATGAAATGTGTATTTGTCAGATGAATGACATATGTATTTGTCAGATCATTGACAAAGGTATTTGTCAGATGCATGGCGTATGTATTTGTCAGATGAATGACATGTATTTGTCAGATGCATCCACATGTATTTGTCATATGTATTTGTCAGATGAATGCCAGATGTATGTCATATGCATCTGCCATATGCATTTGTCAGATGCATGTCATGTGCATTTGTCAGATGCAGTCCATGTCCATTTGTCAGATGCACTCCATGTGCATTTGTCAAGATACATTCCATATGCATTTGTCAGATGAATGACATGTGTATTTGTCAGATGAATGACATATGTATTTGTCAGATGCATGTCATATGTATTTGTCAGATGAATGACATGTGTATTTGTCAGATGAATGACATGTGAATTTCTCAGATGCATGTCATATGTATTTGTCAGATAAATGACATATGTATTTGTCAGATGCATGTCATATGTATTTATCATGACTGCCATGTGTATTTGTGAGATGAATGACATGTGTATTTGTCAGATGAATGAAATGTGTATTTGTCAGATGCATGCTATGAGCATTTGTCAGATGCATGCCATGTGTATTTGTCAGATCATTGATAAAGGTATTTGTCAGATGCATGTCATATGTATTTGTCAGATGAATGACATGTGTATTTGTCAGATGCATGCTATGTGCATTTGTCAGATGCATGCCATGTGCATTTGTCAGATGCATGCCATGTGCATTTGTCAGATGCATGTCATGTGCATTTGTCAGATGCAGTCCATGTGCATTTGTCAGATGCACTCCATGTGCATTTGTCAAGATACATTCCATATGCATTTGTCAGATAAATGACATGTGTATTTGTCAGATGAATGCCATATGTATTTGTCAGATGCATGACATGTGTGTTTGTCAGATGCAGTCCATGTGCATTTGTCAAGATACTTTCCATGTGCATTTGTCAGATGAATGACATGTGTATTTGTCAGATGTATGTCATATGCATCTGCCATATGCATTTGTCAGATGCATGTCATGTGCATTTGTCAGATGCAGTCCATGTGCATTTGTCAGATGCACTCCATGTGCATTTGTCAAGATACATTCCATATGCATTTGTCAGATGAATGACATGTGTATTTGTCAGATGAATGACATGTATTTGTCAGATGCATGTCATATGTATTTGTCAGATGAATGACATGTGTATTTGTCAGATGATTGACATGTGTATTTGTCAGATGCATGTCATATGTATTTGTCAGATAAATGACATATGTATTTGTCAGATGCATGTCATATGTATTTGTCAGATAAATGCCATGTGTATTTGTCAGATGAATGACATGTGTATTTGTCAGATGTATGCCATGTGTATTTGTCAGATCATTGACAAAGGTATTTGTCAGATGCATGTCATATGTATTTGTCAGATGAATGACATGTGCATTTGTCAGATGCATGTCATATGTATTTGTCAGATGAATGACATATGTATTTGTCAGATGCATGTCATATGTATTTGTCAGATGAATGCCATGTGTCTTTGTCAGATGAATGACATGTGTATTTGTCAGATGCATGCTATGAGCATTTGTCAGATGCATGCCATGTGCATTTGTCAGATGCATGCCATGTGCATTTGTCAGATGCATGTCATGTGCATTTGTCAGATGCAGTCCATGTGCATTTGTCAGATGCACTCCATGTGCATTTGTCAAGATACATTCCATATGCATTTGTCAGATAAATGACATGTGTATTTGTCAGATGAATGCCATATGTATTTGTCAGATGCATGACATGTGTGTTTGTCAAGATACATTCCATATGCGTTTGTCAGATGCATGTCATATGTATTTGAAAGATGAATGACGTGTATTTTTCAAATGAATGCCATATGCATTTGTCAGATGCATGCCATATGTATTAGTCAGATGCATGTCATATGTATTTGTCAGGTGAATGACATGTGTATTTGTCAGATGCATGCCATATGCATTTGTCAGATGCATGTCATGTGCATTTGTCTGATGCATGACATATGTATTTGTCAGATGCATGTCATATGTATTTGTTTCATGTTGATTCATGATCTGAAAACAACCAATAATTGGAGGAAGATGCTTGTAGTATCCATGTCACCCTTTGATGATGTCATTTGAATATTCATGAAAGCAAGTATTCAGGTTGTAAATGGAGTATGTATGCATTAATAATGTTGAGACACCATCCCTCATCTATGAATCCAGGTAATGTTATATGTCACTCTAATAGATGGTGTACAAGCTTTTATTCAAGGATAATTTATTCAGTGATTTTTTATTGCCCTCGCAAAACCACTTTGTCTGTGAACTAATATTTTATAATGCATATCAATCTAGTTTATGGTTGGTTGGTTGGTTTGTTGTTTAATGCCCCACTCAGCAATATCTCAGCTATATGACGGCGGTCTGTAAATAATCGAGTGTAGACCAGACAATCCAGTGATTGACATCATGAGCATCAATCCACGCAATTGGTATCGATCAACCAAGTCAGCGAGTCTGACCACCCGATCCCGCTTGTCGCCTCTTACGACAAGCATAGTCTCTTGTTACGGCAAGCATGGGTTGCTGAAGACCTATTCTACCCCGCATTGTTCACATTCCAGCGCAGTGGTGACATTTCACCACTTCCAAAGCTTGAAACAGCCGTGCTTATTCTAAACCCTGAGCAGTCCAGCCCATTTGGAGTCTGTCAGTGCGATTTACATGTAAATTGATATAATTATGAAAGGGATAGTACGTCGACCTTTCTGATGCCATGTTTGTAAACAATAGCCGACAACCCCCGAAATCCGCAAGAAACGTTTCTGTACCAGTGGGTGTAGGCTTATCACGTGACCGGACTTTTTTCTTGTTTGAAAACAAACACACTTGTTCAGAAATAAGAAGAGATGGGCCAAATGCAAGCCTTGCGGTGCTTTTCATACTGTTTTGCATAATTAATAATAGATATACTACCACAACTGCCACAGTGAGGAGTGTGAAAGACATCTAAAAGACGCAACAGCGCTTCAGAGTTGAACAAAGGATAAATATGCAAATGAAACATGATATTGTATATTTTCAAAATGAAAGATAACTATTTCATTCCATGGCTTCATCTAAATGTGTAGACGTTTCAAAATGAAATAGACGAAAAACATGAAAATTGCTGAATGGACTGTATAAATTGTGAGGAATCGTCACATCTCGCTGGCCTCTGGTAGAGTACTGGGATCACCGCAAGAACCCTGGTTTGGAGAGTGGGCATTTGTAACCACGTCTAAACCTGGGTTGGAAATCGGTACCACACTGTTGAGCACTAAAATCCACCCTTCAGTGGTTTACAGTGGTATATCCTGTAACTCTTGTCAGGGACGGATTCACATGGTATGCACCAGGGTATGCACCGGAATTACAGCACAGATGCTGATGGTACAAGAAGGAAAGTTGCAATCGTACAATCGCAACGCATACAGAAATTGACGGCAGTTACACTTGTGGGAGCAGTACGTGGCTGGACAAAACAGTTTCACTAGTACTGACCACAACGTTCAGAAGAGTTGGGAGATGGACTTGGAAACCACATGACATAGTTAAATTCCAGAGTACCAATAAGTAAACTTAATGTCTAAACAATAGTAAAATAAATATAAATAAACTAAGTCACCACAGATTTCTCTAGTTTGTGGCCATTTTCACTCAAATTTGGGGCCATTTTCTCCAAATTGTCAGAGGCCAATTTTGCATGAGGTCATTTTCTCCTGCATCTATGATAAAGTACAATGGAGACTGCTTTTAGCAGAGATTTCGTATTCTATTGCATTGACTTTTTATATTATGCTTATGGAAAGGGTTCTGTTGCTTTTGTTTGACAAAGCTTGCGGACACAGTGATGTGGTCTATTTGTAAAAACACACAGTCAACATCAGAACAGATATGATCAAGTTAATGAGTATAATCCATAGTCATGATCAGTAAATGACGATTAAAAAAGAACCTCACAAATATCGCCTATAGTTTTTGATATATACCCAGGACCCACTAGCTGCACGTCTCACAGGTGACAACACCATGCTCTTGTCTCTCATCGCTAAGCACATAATTTCTCACAAAATAAACTTTAAACTGGAAAAGAAGTTTTTCCGAGTGTCAAAACAGATGGAGGTACCTTATTAAGCTACCAGACATTCTCAGCTGTATTTGCCACAGTACAAAACAAAGTGATAACCAGTTGCCATCATGAAAGTGCAGAGTTACTTTTCAGCATCATGGTATTGATCATAATAAAATTAAGAAATAATACACTTGATAGCCATAGATAATGAAAATAAGCCCCTCTTGAAATGAAACGACTTTCTTAGCTGGATTGGTTACAGAACCAAGATGAGGTGCAACCTCAAAACTGAGAGTACATAGTCTTTTCCCTTCAGGTTCGTGAGCACATTCAAACCTTGTCACCATGGTTAGTCTGGAAACCCCTGCTTTCACACAATATTTTGGGAATACCAAACATTACTTTGTTTTCACATTCGTTAATCCAGACAATTTCACTTGGCAGTTTCACAATGCTTCATTTGTAAGATCCTGATTCTGTGTACTGTTAATATGCAATGTCAGTGATAACAATGAAAGTACATAAAAGCCATTTGTTCACTTACATGAATAACTCATAACTATTTGGAGAGTATTAACAAATGTAAGACCTGAAAGAGTTCAAACTTTAGGCACCATCAATGTACAGTAACATTGCATGTTATTCTTTGTTCTTAAGGTGCAATCAGTACTGGGCAAAATGAATTCATCTTTGATCATGACAAGTGCCTTTTCGCATGGGCAAGTTTTTATTTTAATCCATTGAATGTCGAGTTTTTTCGTCAGATGTTCTCGGGATTCGCCTTCTGCAACCAAAGCTTCTTGTTAAGGTGAAAAATGGGATCTGACCCATGAAGATCCGGAGTAGAATAGGTCTTCAGCAACCCATGCCTGCTGTTAAAGGTGACTATGCTTGTTGTAAGAGGCGATTAATGGGATTGGGTGGTCAGGCTTGCTGACTTGATTGATGCATGTCATTGTATCCCATGACGTAGATCGATGTTCATGATGTCAATCACTGGATGGTCTGGCCTAGACTTGATTATTTACAGGCCAACGTCGTAAAGCTGGAATATTGTGCAGCCTTGAACAACAAACAAAAAAACATCTGAGCTCAAGGTGCACCACAGCCTTGAATATGAAGCTCTGAACACTGTAACAAGAAAAACAAACAAGAAGCAACTGTTTTCACTTGCAATGCATATGTATACTTTAATTTTATCACTAGTCTTATGTACAAAACTTGAAGCTATGTACAAGAAATACCTTTGTACAACAGCTATGTACAAGATGAAGAAATGTTTTGGTTGCCATCAAATAGAATATGTACAATGATACACAAATGATACAAAGAGTGTTGACCTTCAATTATGACACCTTGTGACAAAATCTCAAAGGTAGGTAGTGCAAATGTCTCCCAGCATTATCCTAATAATGGTACTTCAAATTTCCTTCAGTGACCTATATATGTATTTAATATGCATGACTATGCAGTTTCTTAATGTCAATGACAAAAATATTTATATGTGTGTGCAGACATAACCAATTACAGACTATGCAATCCATTCACTAAATTCTTCCATTTTCCTATACTGGTATGTATATACGATATATATATGATATTATAACATACACATATCTCATTATCATTTTACATTCCATAATTCTATGAATGAGACAGTATTTCTTCTTTTTGGATGACATTAAAAACATAAATATCAATATTTACCAGGCTTACAATTTGCTTACCGGGGTATTTAACTGAAAAGTTTCTAATGTAGTTAAAACAATGAACCAGTTCTTGTGAAGAAGGTGATGAAGGTAAATATGAGTATCTACTCCAAACTTTGATTTGAGCACAAACACAAAATATCACTGGAACAACACAGTAACTAAAATTCGCTTTAAAAAACTAAAATGTAATATCTGCATGTATTGGTTTCTAACATATATAGGCACATGATCATATTAAAACATATGTATTGAGCTGAATAGGAACGATGGGCCAAAGGTCCATGTACAAACTAATTCAGGCAAATTACAATATTTCCATGACTTTTTTGTTTCCATGAGCAAAGGCTTATCAATGATATTTCCTGCATAGACTAAACATAGATACTAAAGACACATGTAACGACGCATGTCAAACACAAAGTAATGTAATACATACCAAATGCTAGTGTTAATGTAAACAAGGAATATTATAACCATTATACACATTGTAGCAGGCTTCAAATGAAAGACAAATCTTACAAGTTATTTCAAGCTGGAACAGACATGAAAAATTCATTTCCAAAATAAATCGAGTAACATTAAATGTGAATATAACATTTTTAGTAAGGGTTGATGACACAATACATTGATTATGTCTACTGGTATAATGAGGAAGATAATTTATGGATGTCATCTTCTTTCTTCTTTATTATGAGGAACCTCCCAATAATAAAGAAGTTGACATCCACAAGTTCTCTTCCTTGTGTGTATCACTTCTAAATGCCATTCAAAGACTTGATACTCGTGTAATGAGCAAGAAACAGAGGAACAATCAAAGCCAAAGAATGTCCATATTTAGATCTGCACTATGGTATTTAAAAAAAGAAAGAAATCCCTTCTAATTATCCATACATAAGGATTATTTCATACTTTGATAATAAAATACAGAATAGATGTTGGAATGACATGAAAGAAAATTGTGCAGCAAGATTGATAATGCTGTGTAAAAGGTATCACAATTTGTTTGAAAATATTACCAGGCACACAATCAGATACCTAGTGAAAGGTTGCCTCTCACTCTGGGTACAGTAATAACTGCTTATATTCTTCTTGAAGCAGCAGGAGTTGACAGTTAATGACGACCATATGCCATTAGCAGGCTAACAGAAGAGCCCCTACAATATGTTGACATCTCTAATCCCCAGTGTAAAATTCAGACTCTCACTCATAAGGACAACTTATAATTTGTTGTTTAATACTGCACTGAGCAATATTCCATCTATAAAAAATCAAGTTCTGACCAGCCAATCAAGTGATTGATATTATGAGCAATGGTCAACACCATATGTGTACAAGGACATGAAACAACCAAGACACTGAGCCTGACCACTAGAACTATTAAGCAGTCTCTTCCAACGGGCACAGGTTGTTGGAAACCAATTCTAACCCAGATCACCTCAACTTTTGCCCTCCTCATTGAACAAGATCATCAAACTTGAATTAGCAGGGTTACTGTTCAAATGTCCTGATCACAATATAATGCAATTGAATTTTATATAGAAAATATAGGTGTTAAAGCATGGCCTGTTTTTCAAGTGGGGGTTATTGGAGTAAAAGTTCAAGCAAGTGGATGGCATGGACAGAAAGTCCTTCAAATCAAGTACACAGGTACACAATAAAGTATGGAGTTAAAAATAATCAGCAAAAATCCCTTTAGGAAAGATTTCTCTAGCTTCAATGTTTTACAGTACAAATGTGTTGTACAACAGCACAATAGACTGACAACATAAAATAGTTATGAGGGTAAATTATTGATGACATGCCACTGACTATAATGAAGATGGAAACGGGATCAATGGGAATGGATGGTCAATCAACCAAATATGAAGAAGGATGACCAGCAACTGGACATTAGACCATACACATTTAAAGGGGCATATACATCAATGACACAGGCTTAAAGATCAATGACCACTACAGCCACATATAAAATAATCCACAGAATCGGAAAGGAAACGGACATAAAACAAACCTATTTACTTCTTTCTTGACTTCCTATGTTGTTGTTTTGCAATATTTGAAATGATGAAATAACATAATGAATGCCAGTGTTGTTATCAGGTTTCCTTGTCCGAAACTCCCACAAATGCATGTGTATAAAAAATTCAATGTTGTGTGACTCAGAGAAACCAAGGCTAACCATGCACTATTCAAAGAATAGGAAATGAGAAAATTGAGGCTGACAGTGAAGAACAGTATGTAGTCCAATATTAAGAAATATCAAAAACAAGAACTTCATCAGTCTGATATTTACAGAAAGGAATAGAGGAAGTATAACCTACGAGATAAATATGAATGAAATTTCACAGAAGATATGCTGACTGAAGACTATAAATTGGTATGTGCACGCAGAGGTTTCCATATTATGAAACGATGAAGTGTCAAAGAACTGAAACTGTCCAGTTCTAAAATAACATCTGCTTTCTACAGCAAAATCAACAGATACAAAAATATAACTATTTGCATTGCCAATTTGTAACAAGTGGGTTCTTATGAACAATATTTTGCTTCAGTTGCTCGGGTCATTGGACAACAATTCAAATGAACATGTCATTTAATGACACAATACTTGTAAACACAAAATGAATTCTTGCAAACATGATATGAAAATCTTCGATACTGTATTCTTCTAAACATAAAGATGAAAGATAACCTGGTAAATATATATTGACATCAGGTATTTTTCTCACCGAAAATTGTGTTCTACAAAGAATTTGTGCAGAAACAGAGTAAACTTAATTTCGGAATGACATACATCAATACAATTGCATAACTTCCAGTTTCTGCAATATCTGAAGCCTAGATAAACTGATTCTCGGGACACTGTTCAGAGTAAACAGTATCCACAGTTTCCATGTTAAAGTGTCTGGTATCAAAACGTAATTTTCCTATATACCCCCAGGGGTATCTAAATTTCAGAATTATCAGCTGCCAACAGTCTAAGCCCTGGGCTTAACTACTATATTTTATGTATTAGCTCAACTTATGGAGACCCTAATCTTTCAAATGCACCCAAGATAGGTCTTATCACTGACAGACTGTGTCATCAAACTGCTAATATTCTGTACTGAAAATAACCTGCTTTTTCATTGATTGAGCTCAGTGTCGGCAGATGTTTTCATTTATTATCTTCATAAAAGAACTTAAACACATAATTATTCATCCTCCAATGCTACATTTGATTCAGGATTTGCATTATTGCATATTATGAGTGCACACCTTCTACAGCTGTGGTACAATGCTATACACTGAAAGGTTATTTGTCCAAAAAGGTGGAATGTTCCAAATTCAGAAAGAAACGATACTTGTAGATTCCTCTATTAGTGGGCAATACTTGCATTGTGGTCTTGAATATCCATGGATGTAGAGTCAGTTGTATTCTCACATATGTGTTGCCTATATTCACACGTGTACAGACAATGTGAACGCAAACATACATATCAATGTCTCAAAATTCAAGTTGTCAACATGTTATCATCCCCTGTTGTCATGCATGTATATTATGTATGTCTATGATCCAAGAAGTTCTTAACAATTTAAAATTTAACAAAACTAAAATCTAGTTTCTGTTAAATATTTAACAACATACACAAAGCAAATGACAAGCAAGGGGTCATCACAAAAGTGCAAAGAAGACTATTCAAAATGTCCTGCATTGAATTTATCCAAAATACTTTCAAAAATATTTCACATTTTCAAAGGAACAATTTCAAGTGCAGACAAATAGTACTATTCAAAATGTCCTGCATTGAATTTATCCAAAATACTTTCAAAAATATTTCACATTTTCAAAGGAACAATTTCAAGTGCAGACAAATAGTACTATCTCGGTTGGAATGTGATATTATTCTGGTGGTAATCCTATCATTAAACTATCAAATTTCCAATAAGGTTCCTGTATTTAGTATTTAATTGAAGCTTAAAATTCAAAAATCGAACAAAATCCTGAATTTGCCTCGCCAGTGTTACCAGTTGATAGAATCAGGTGTTAGGCATCTACTTATTGTGTCAGTATCAGGAACAGCAACAATGGATTTAGCGACAATTCCCATTGAGCAATTAAACCAGAGCCATCAAGGCGATGAGCAAATCCACAAATCATTAGGCTACCCACCCATAGAGTTATTGTTAGTCAGTGTGAACTATGAACCTCTGTGATGATCCCTCATCTAAATCACAATGCCATGACTATCAACATTAATGTAATACCTCACTTACAAATTAGAATACAGGATGTACAATTTCATTAGCTGGATTATTTACACAGATCTGTAACAAAATCTCATTGGTCAGGTCATCGATCAACGTAAAGCAAGACAAAATGGAACTCTGAAATACTTAAATACAATAAATTATTTCCATACTCTACTGACATCAATTTACAAGGCTCTCTTGACTCAAAACTGATGCAAAATCTCATATCATGATTGTATCATTACGTTTCAAGATGATGAAAAAACCACAATCTGACAATATCACAAATGTAAAGAAAATGTTTCTTGCCTGAATAAAAATTCAGTGCATCTTGAAATGATAGATGTTCATGAATGGCACTTTAAGCTGAAAATCTGTTTCTTTTGGCTTCACGTCACCATCTGAATATTTCGAAGAAGTATCTGTTTACATCTTGTCATATAAAGACTAGAGAAAAAGCTGAACAGGATCTGCTCAGCACACCCTGATGAACCTTCCTGTCATTCTGGTGTGTTCCGACATTTGTCCATGAAAGGTGTGGTACGGATGGAGTGTGACTGCTTGGACCCTGGTCGGACATGAGCGAGGGTGATAGTGGTGGTAGCTCTGATAGCTCTGTTAATATCACATTTGCTGAAGACTCGCTTCCACAGTTATTCTCATGACAAGTCTTCTCTGGACTCACGGTGTATCGACAGCACTTGAGCAAATTTCTTTTTATCACTGTTCATACGTATTGTGTCTATATTGCGGAACAAATTGTCTGCAGAAATGTCCTCAGGTAGTTTGGTGAGAAACTGGGCAAGATGAATGAAATCCATGTTGATTAGAATCCCTTCATACAACCTTAAAATTCCTGGAAAAGAAATGAAATATTTCAACGATGAAACAATAACATTCACAAATGTATTACAAATACTCCTACATCCTGACAATGATAACAAATGGGTAAACCAATTGTTAAAATGATTCACCAGCTTCTGGGTTTTTTATGACCCCATTCAGATATGGGCAAAAAGGTTCTCAGCACCACATACTGATTGTCAACATTTCACAGTTTTAATAGTTTGATGGACAAAACAAATGATTTTCCCCACTGTATTAGTGAAACCAAAAAGAAATGACCTATTGACTGCCTCTTCCCAAGTCACAAGGAACAGTGTCAAGGCTTGGTATCACAGAGAATTCAAAGCACACACCTCCAATGCTGAATCCCCAGGCTTATGTTACCCATAACCCTCAGACTGCCTGGAGCAAACCCAGATATTAATCTTACCTATAGCTGTGCGAAATAGAAACTCCTCGCCATCTCGACAGAAGACGTCCCAGACCCGACAGGCTACATCCAGAGGTAGAGACTTGCCATAGATTAGAAATATCCTGAAGAGATACATGGCAAGTCAACACAAGTTGAACTAATACAATGGTAACATGAACTCTGCAATGCACTTATTTTGTTGGACAGGATGTAGTTCTTTATATTCAGTATTCATGACAAGCTCATGTAATTGACCTTTTTCACACTTCGCTACTTCCGGTTTAAAAGCGAGGCTTGGAGAGTAGAAGGTGAAGGCTTGATGGCACATGATACATATGGAGATGTCAACAAGGCACGCAATCGGGACAAACTGTGACAATGTAGCCACTCCGGTACTATCACGGCAACATTTATCGTAAGTATTGAACATTATTCTTATCATTAACAAAATATTCTACTGTTATCTGGTCTCCACTGATATATATTTAGCAAGTGAGTCTGGCCGTTCTGTTGTGATTTCAATTTCAAATGTCCATGACCACCTGGTAACTCCCAGTGCAGTATCTTAATGAGATAGTCTGTTGGCTCAGCCTCACAATCACAATTATGACAATCTACATCAGACTTATGGGTACTGGATACCACCAACATCAATTTCACAACTACAACAACATTCTCCAACCATTTCAGTTTCCCATTAAAACCCCGAACACATTACCTGCCCTTGTTAAAGTGGGGCAAACACGTTACCTGCCCTTGTTAAAGTGGGGCAAACATGTTACCTGCCCTTGTTAAAGTGGAGCAAACACGTTACCTGCCCTTGTTAAAGTGGGGCAAACATGTTACCCACCCTTGTTAAAGTGGGGCAAACACGTTACCTACCCTTGTTAAAGTGGGGCAAAGACGTTACCTGCCCTTGTTAAAGTGGGGCAAACACATTACCTGCCCTTGTTAAAGTGGGGCAAAGACGTTACCTGCCCTTGTTAAAGTGGGGCAAAGACGTTACCTGCCCTTGTTAAAGTGGGGCAAAGACGTTACCTGCCCTTGTTAAAGTGGGGCAAAGACATTACCTGCCCTTGTTAAAGTGGGGCAAACACGTTACCTGCCCTTGTTAAAGTGGGGCAAAGACGTTACCTGCCCTTGTTAAAGTGGGGCAAACATGTTACCCACCCTTGTTAAAGTGGGGCAAACACGTTACCTACCCTTGTTAAAGTGGGGCAAAGACGTTACCTGCCCTTGTTAAAGTGGGGCAAAGACGTTACCTGCCCTTGTTAAAGTGGGGCAAAGACGTTATCTGCCCTTGTTAAAGTGGGGCAAAGACGTTATCTGCCCTTGTTAAAGTGGGGCAAACACGTTACCTGCCCTTGTTAAAGTGGGGCAAACACGTTACCTGCCCTTGTTAAAGTGGGGCAAAGACGTTACCTGCCCTTGTTAAAGTGGGGCAAAGACGTTATCTGCCCTTGTTAAAGTGGGGCAAACACGTTACCTGCCCTTGTTAAAGTGGGGCAAACACGTTACCTGCCCTTGTTAAAGTGGGGCAAACACGTTACCTGCCCTTGTTAAAGTGGGGCAAAGACGTTACCTGCCTTTGTCAAAGTGGGGCAAACACGGGAGGTTGAAAGTGACAAAGGTGGACACCAGGAACAAAATAGTTTTTATTTTTGCCCAACAATCAAATTCTTAATCTACTTGTTTCTTCTCACCAATCAAATTACCCACCCTCCAACTTAAATATTCCCTCCTCTAACTTGCCAAATACAAAGCGGTGTGGAACTGGTATATCAAATCAAAGACAACTATATATGTAGGAAGCACCTGTGTGTCATGCATCAATAAAGTTAATACATTTTCATATCACTTGACACATTGATATCATTTTCACAGTAGTTGATCTGTTCTTGTTGTTTGTATTGTTGTTTGTTGTGCCTAGCTTGTCAACTCACCAGTCTAGAAGGTAAAGATTAGGTGTGAGGGCCTGGTCAACAAAATGATCATGTAGATGAGGCAGGTTTTCTCTGAAGAATTCTGTGAATGTGTCATAGTAGGCCATCATCTAAAAATTCAAAAGTACAATGATGGAGTCCGAGCTAACACTTGAGTTGCCCAAACTTTATAAGCATCACTTTGTAGGATTTTATACAGATACATGGACTAGTGTTAGCAAGAAGTTAGACAAGATTCTGTTTCAGGACTAAAGTCACATACTGAAGAGGTTATTTCATAAATCCTTTTTATTATCACCATATAAAGTAAACCAAAACATTTTATTTTTTTAATAATATTATTAATATTTCAAACCCTGACATAATTCCTCAACTGTGCATGTGCAGCTCTCAAGGCTAGAGCTGTAGTTTACGAAGGTATAATGAACGACATGCAAAATGACAGTTTGATGTACGCCTGATGGGGATCATATGCTCTCAAATACCGGAACGAGAGATAACCGTTACTAACCATGGCCTCATCCATGCGGAAAAAGGTGACTTGACACGGTCTGTTGAGCAAGTTGGCGAAACAAACAAAGGCATCTGCCACATCCATGTTCAGGAGGAGGATGGCTGCGATGAATGACATACCCTGGACCTGAGGGAGAGACGGACAACAATCATCAGCTGCAGCCAAATACAGCCAAATTCCTCGGATTAACAGCAAATATTTCCCCATGAGGATATTACATTTTAACTATCATAACTTATCTCTTGTTAAATGAAAAGACATCGGAAAAGACGATACAACATAAGGCAGTGATCATAGTGCAGGGACAGCTGCAAGTGGATGTTGAGGTACGTGTGTCCTTTTCGTGTGACAGTCCCCCATTACTTGATCCATAAGGCTAAAAAAAAATAGTCTTGGTTCTCAGGCACTGCCCACATCATCATAAAGTTCATTTCACCTTACGTTTTTGTTTCCATTTTCAATTTTTTTTTGTGCATTGTGTTTAAGTATTAGGATTTATATTGGGTCTTTTAATATGGAAATAAAAACAAAACGTGCAGCAGACTTTATGAACACGCAGGTGGTGCCTGATAACCAAGACTATTATTTTATTCAGCCTAAAACAGATAATAAGTACCAGTTACCTTAATCTCAGCAATGATTCTAACCAGTTTTTGTTTCCATTTTCAAAATTTTTTTGTGCATTGTGTTTAAGTATTAGGATTTTTATTGGGTCTTTTAATATGGAAATAAAAACAAAACGTGCAGCAGACTTTATGAACACGCAGGTGGTGCCTGATAACCAAGACTATTATTTTATTCAGCCTAAAACAGATAATAAGTACCAGTTACCTTAATCTCAGCAATGATTCTATCTCTGAAGGAGGGATAAGTCATCCAAGGAGGTTATTTTCAAGATTAAGCAAGTAAAGAATCAGTTCTGATGAGACTGAACATGCTGTTTCTGAAGTTTGTACCTGACAGGCAATATTGTGAAAGATGCGTGGTGCTGTATGGGGACAATACCGGTACTTACATATCCAACATCGGGCCTGTAGCATGCATAGGCTCCCAATAGGCTGTGTAGAAGGTCGTGATATGGCCCACCCTGAAACATAACACAAGTATCAACCATCCAAGATCAGATACTCCCGATCAAACTCTTACATCTTCTTCATCAAGATTCCCAGTATCACTCGAGTAACAGAAGGGTAACTGCTAGTGTTGTAATGACCTTTTTCATACTTCGCTACTTCCAGTTTGAAAGCGAGGCTTGGACACCAGAAGGTGAAGGCTGGATAGCACATGAAACACATGGAGATGTCAACAAGACACGCAATCGGGACAAACTGTGACAATTTAACCATCCAGGTACATTTATCGTAAGTATTGAACATTATTCTTATTCTTATCATTGACAAACTATTCTACTGTTATCTGGTCTCCTTACCGATATAAATTTGAGTCTGGCCGTTCTGTTGTGATTTCAATTTAAAATATCCATGACCACCTGGTAACTCCCAGTGCAGTTTATGGTAGCTGAACAGACTTAATACAAATGCTACTGAGATCTTGTAAAGAATAATTCATTGTTTACACACCATTAAGCCAAACTATTTATTGTGAGTTTAAATAACTTTGCGGGTTGTATTTGAAGTCGAAATATTGACCTTTTGACCAAATCTAGATATATGTCAGAAACTAACTAAATTGATATGTTCATATAATGTATCAAATTGTAACCTACTGAGAATTTACAATCGTAACAAATCAGAATTTTGCATCAGTTTCGTATTTGATGTAAATTGTAATGGACTCAAATGCATTCCAATAAAATATTAGACCTCTAGATCTACTTGTGTTGTGATTGTGAACAGTTGTTATTTTGATTGTCAGTGTTGACAGATTAGATAGCATGAGGTGTAATATTTCAACTGAATTATTACGAAAAGGGTGTGTAAATATTTAAAGTAAAATACAGTTTGATCTGCAATTTTGTGAACAATAGTTCTACCAAAATGATATTTACTTTACTGTACCAAATTAATCATGTCATGAAATTAACAAAAACCCAACTAATTAATGGCCAGTAAATGTTCAATCTACATGTGATCTTTATATAATTTACAGATAACTCTTTAACAGTTTGTATTCAAATATTTCAAATGCATAAATTGATATTGACATTACTATAAACTTAAAGTATAAACAGAATTATTTTTAATTCCCATGCATATAGCAATCATAACTCATTTATTGTTTAATTGTGAAACCCATCTGGTTTTATGTCCACAAACATGTTTTGAAACTTTTAAAACAAAATGATTTCTCTACATTGCTCAGCCGGCATAATCATGTGGAAGCACACTGGTTACTGTTAGTTACCTTCTGGAATATACAGAGTTGAGGGAATGTTCTGGATACGTCAAGTTTGATGACATTGACGCTGTCTTCTTTGTTGGACGGAGGTTCATTTGAGACTGAAAACAAAAATACAATAGTTGTTTGAGAATTGAAAACAAAAATACAATAGTTGTTTGAGAATTGAAAATAAAAATACAATAGTTATTTGAGAACTGAAAACAAAAATGCAATAGTTGTTTGAGAACTGAAAACAAAAATGCAATAGTTGTTTGAGAACTGAAAACAAAAATACAATAGATGTTTGAGAACTGAAAACAAAAATACAATACTTGTTTGAGAACTGAAAACAAAAATACAATAGTTGTTTGAGAACTGAAAACAAAAATACAATACTTGTTTGAGAATTGAAAACAAAAATACAATACTTGTTTGAGAACTGAAAACAAAAATACAATACTTGTTTGAGAACTGAAAACAAAAATACAATACTTGTTTGAGAACTGAAAACAAAAATACAATAGTTGTTTCAGAACTGAAAACAAAAATACAATACTTGTTTGAGAACTGAAAACAAAAATACAATACTTGTTTGAGAACTGAAAACAAAAATACAATACTTGTTTGAGAACTGAAAACACTAAGCCACTGTTCCAGCAACACAAACATAATTTCTTTTCTTTGACAAAATTTACAGACAACATCCCTGACACACTTGAAGTATCTCCACATTATTTCAATATGTTCCTACAAACCCAGATCTTTTGAGGACACGAAATACCATGTTTCCACAAACTAATAAGTGAGTGGGTGAGTGAGTAGGTGAGTGAGTGTAGTTTTACGCCACTTTTAGCAATGTTCCAGCAATATCAAGGCGGGTTACATTAGATATGGGATTCACACATTGTACCCATGTCTGGAATCGAACCCGGGTCTTCATCGTGACGAGCGAAGGCTTGAACCACTAGGCTACCTGACCGCCCCTACACAAACTGATAAGACTCTGGACAGCTAGCGTGATGTGTAATGGGTGAGATGCCCTATCTAAAATCAAAATGAGACAAGTGGGATGACTAAAGTCATGTCTAAGACAACTGAGTTATCTCCCCTTGACCACAAACCTTCTGTTGCTCCTGACGACTCGCTGGCTGATTCCTGCATCAGTTTGATCCGGTCCTCAGCTCGGCTTTCACAGATCTCGTACAGTTCTAGGAATAATGAAAATCATGTTTTGTTTGTTGTACAATGAAAAACATCAGCCATAAATTGAACACCAGAAAATTGAGAAATGCAACAATATGGAACTTTTATTAGTGGTTGACTTAGTACTTTGATATGAGTTAAGTATCCTGGATAGTTTGAATTTCACAATACGTAATTAATTAATTCTACTTTTACTATTCATTTGTGAAATGATCAAAATTGTTCTATGGGATTATTCTCAAATTCATAATAAAAAAAATTCAAACATATTTCAGGGCTTTTACACTTGCTCAGATCAAGTACTCCTGTACACCCCCTCCTTTTGAAAACTAAATGTAGTATGTTGTAGGTAGTAAAATTACCTGAGACAGGATTTTGATATTGTGGGCCCCTCCCTTTTACAAATGCTGGATCCTGCCTTGTAGCTCACAGATTGTGACCACCTAATCCTAAAAAGCCCGCCCTTGCGACAAGCATGGGGTCTTGGGACCTACTCTGCCCTGGAATCCCCCGGGGATCCTACAAGTTGAGTGTTGGTAGACTTACCCTGAGTGATGTTAAGGTCATTGCCGAGGGCCAACCTCCACACTTTCCCCCTGACGTTGGGCGGCAGGCCGATCCACCACAGGTCACGTGCCTTCTTACTGCCTTTCCTGTTGGGGGGAACAGAACAGATTATTTCAAGGCATTTGATATCAGTCAATGGCTGTTGGGGGGGAAGTACTGAACACATATAAACTGGAATCAGTTTCATGTTCTGTCACTTACAGAAAACATGTTCCATGGTGTAATCACTCCTACATACCTACTGCATGTCCCAAGTCATCCCCCCTGTAGCCCACACTATCCAGTGCACTGTGTCCCAGTTGGTTACACATACATCTTCTCCCGCCTCACACACAAACCCTCGCCCCCACTCACTGTGTGTCCCAGTTAGGCAGGACTTCGTTGTTCCAGATGCGGGCTGCGGCCACCAGTTGGTCCTCCTGACGTAACTGCTGCTGTAACTGCCTCTTCTTCTGCTTCATCTCTTTTTGTTCTGCAATCCACACATTACAACACTGATCACTGTTCATAACTCCTGCACTATATTCCTTTCATATCAGCTCTACCACTATTCCAACCTCATTACCACGAGAACATTCATCACATTCAGAATAATTCTCAATGAATTCTTGGCCTAGATTATTATTCTCAGACAAGTGAAAATCTCGAATGGCTAGTTGTTTCTCCCCAAATCATATTGTGTTACATAAATCACAAGTCAAAATTGAGCCAGGACCATGCTGGATTTGAAAATAATATAGCAGATATTAGCGGTAGCAAATTCTTACAAAATGTCTGATGGTCAATAAGAGTGAGTGAGTGAGTATGGTTTTACGCCACTTTTAGCAATATTCCATCAATATCACGGCAGGGGACATCAGAAAAGTGTGCCCATGTGGGGAATCGATCCCGGGTCTTCCGCATGACGAGCGAACACTTTAACCACCAGGCTACCCGACCGCCCCTGATGGTCAATAAGACAATTGTGGTACATATCAAAGAGTCTTGGCTTGGTGTTTGTGGCAATGCTTCCTTTTAGTACTCTCAATAACAATGTAAATCTTGACTACCTTTTCTCCGGGCTGCTTCCACCATTGTTTCATACTCTTGTCGATGCTTCTCTGCTTCTTCCGGATTCTTGGATGGCAGGTTCCTGTAGCCAAGAGTGAGTGAGTGAAATCTTATGTTGGGAGTGAATGAGCAAAATTCAAAGCCACCTCAAACAATATTTCAGTCATATCACATGTCAGCTTGATATGGCAGAAAGCCCTTGGGAACAGATTGTAAATGTTTACAAATTTGGTGAAACCCATGAGAATGGGTATGGCATTGACAAATCAAGCATCATAATTGATTCGAATATCTAGATGTCACAGACAAATGAGAATGATAAAAAGATCTCTAATCTATTACTGTAGGTACACTTGAAGAAATTTAAACTGAGTGTACGAGAGAGTGAGAGAGTCTTCGGGTAACTATGAATAGTATTTCAGTAATACAACTGTACGTTAGCATGATCATTGATCTACAAGACTATGTTACCACTTCGGTGAAAACAACAGGGTAGAGTACTGGCAGAGATTCAAACCTACAAGCAGCTGATCCTGACCATCTAGGGGACACAACTCACACAGGAAACACAAACAGTTCCTTGACAGATTGCAGTGACTCTAGATATAGAAGCATTATGTGAAAGCACCAGCACTCTTTCACAAATCAGCTAATGCCAAAGATCAGCAACATGATGGATAACAATGAACATCTCTGATGATGAAAACCTCTTCGCTAAAGTTTACTGCAGAAATGTAGTCCTCAGCTTATTTCATCTTGGCCCGATATTGTAAAAAGATGGCTATTGACATGATTGAGATGGAAATATACCGATAACAAAATATAATTACAAAATTCAATATTCATGAAAAAAAATTCTTTCAGCTCCCACCAAACTAATATCTGTAGAATCTGGGCTCATGGTAATTTGAAAAGTAGACTAGGTTATTGACAGTGGTAATATTCATAGATACAGTCAACCCATGACAGACAACCAGAGTCAGATGCATACATCACTCTCAGCCCTTCTCAGTTCCATCTTCCCAGCATTCAATCTTTTTAAGCCAGTCTATTGAATAATGCATGTAAACTCCAAACACAATCATTTTCAACCATATTGTTTCATGCTAAGCTCAGCAAAAAACTTTTTTAGTGATTTTTTACCTGTGCAAAAACATTTATACTGGACTGCATCAAAGACCATTTAATGAGTTTCACAACCAAAAATATCCTTGCATCCGCCACGAAGTACTAGAAAATTGTCACTTCTCTTCAGACTGCAGAGGGCAAAGCTTAATATAAATGTTGCAGGACTATTTCAATCAATATCTCTTGGAAAGAAGGAATGAGTTTTGTTGCTCAATATTATGAAAATTGGTTCCTAATGGCAGCCTGGGAAGGCGTATTGCATGTTTAGAGGTGGAGGAATTGTATATTCCCGGTTTCTATTGCATCAAGATAGCATGACTAGAGGACAGCAACAATATACATGCACTCTATGTCCTGGCAGTCGCACACTTTGCTACACATCACTACCTCTTTACAGAACCCGTAATAAACGTCTCGGGTCTCTTACAGAATATGTGCTTCTCAATGAAGATGTAAAAATATCACATGGTTTAAAAAACCCATCTCACACTGATAGAAAGGCATGTCGATAAGTTGACCAGATGAAGGTGTTGGGTGATTTTGAATCTGACACTGCAGTGTTTCAGGTATATGACTTTTACAGATTAATGCTGGAGAAATTATTGAGTGCGTGAGTCAGTACTATTTTAACAGGATATCACAGCGTGTCAGCTTAATGTAGGAGGAAAGACCAAAGTGGTGCAGGTCTCAGACGTTTACCACTTCGGTGAAACCCACGAGCAGGTGTGTGGTGCTGACAACCCTGGAAATAATGTAGGTGAAATGGGATTCAAACAGACAATTGTAGGTTCTGCTAGGCTGGGACCAGTGACATTTCCCTGTGGACAGTCCCTTTTTCCTTCAGGTAGATGGCAACTCTTTAGGAGATCATTTAGTGGACAAGTGAAAATAAAAAAACATCTAAAGTTGTTTACAATGTTAGGGTCAGGCTGGTTCAGGATTAGGGTGTAGCACAAACTGACACTGAACATGCACTCAGTAAAATGCACAGTTCCTGAATATCCTGTCACCATCATCGCACAGGAACACTTACATGGGCCTGTTCTCCAGTATAAGGGCAGTGGTGGAGAGAACTTCTATATCTTGTTTCTTTGTTCGACTGGCAGGGAAATGGGCACTGGCTCTCTGCTTGGCCTGATAGTCGGTGGAGATTTGAACCGGGTCCTTCTCTGTGGCAGCTTTGGGAGGGATACGACCAAACAGTTTCCATCCCGGGGCGCTCTCTGACGATGCATTTTCTTTGGCCTTCCGGGAAAATAAATTTCTGAGGGAAAAAAGGCAAGTTTTGAACAATTCTGAAAGCATTATGCAACTGATGGTGGGTAAGAAACATAAACAAAGTCATGCCCAATCAGTACCTAGAATATCCGGATTCCTGAAAGAAAATACTATTATTAACAAAAGACGAAAGGCATTAAAAGAAACATGACAATCATAGAAATCAATCCACAATTATCACTCTTAATCACACAAACGGAACAGTTTCATCAAAATGAAAAGTAGGAAAAAAGCCTTAAAGTGTGATCTCTGTTTAGTCTGTACTAACAAGAACATGACAATGACCAAAGAGTCCAGCTGTTGTTGTGATTGTTTACATGTTAGTTATTGAGGCTGGTGGACACCTGATCCAGTCAAGTCGAGCTGTAGCATCTGCAGTGTGAGGTCTCAGACTTTGGACCAAGATAGCTGGCATTATGTCACCACTGGGACATGGGTTCGTGTGACTCAGGCTTTCTGCCACACACTTGCTTTATGAGCAATAACTCAAACCGACACAACTTTACTCACATACTATGTTCAGTGAGATGAGTGTTTGTTCATAAAAAAATTAATGTGTAATTGTAATATCTAAAATTTTCTTTTCAATGGTCACTGACATATTCATCACTACAGACACATCTCCAGCTAATGTTAGATGTTAACTAAATGTTGTTTTAATTATTTTTTAACTCCAGATAATGGCAATCTGTAACTGTCTGGGTCACTCAAACCAGTGGTTGACGGCATGAGCAAGGATCCACACTATCAAGTTGAACAACGCTAACAATCGGGGACACATTTTTACCACCCACTCCTCAATAGTCAGCATTTGTGAAAAAAATGGGATACTTGCTACCTATTCTGCCCCGAAATTCTGCAAGGTCCGAGAAATTGTGGAAAAATCCATACAAACTTTTCATAAAATAATATTGCAGCTATCAAAATGCTGTTGATACTAATGATGACCTTGCTGTACAAGGAACACAGTGATCTTGGGTGATATGGATCCCTACCTGCCTATCAGCAAACAGTACCGTATTCGACGTAATAAGCGCCCAGGGAGCTCTCAAAATTAGAAATAAGGGGCTCTTATTAGAATATAATTTTGGTTAAAAAAACAGAGTTGAAAGATTGTAAATTTCTAGGTTTATGTACCTGAAATGATACAAAAGAAAAGTCTGCTCGTATTATACATGAATACATAAGTCTTGTGTACATTGATCAATCGGAAGAGGTGCTAATTGGGATTGTTCACTAGCCAATATATTGCAAATATCACCATGGGCGCTCATTAGAGCAAGGTGCTTATTACGTCGAATACAGTAATTGCTTTCTGATCAGCTTACACCATATCCTAGGGTCAAGACATCACAAACAGTATCTATGGACTTCTCCACAAGGCCACGTTGTCATGCTTCATTGATCCCAGCCTCAGTAAACCTTCCCAAGGACAAGGGGCATGTGATCGATGCAACACTTTTGTATGAAAACAGCCAAGGAAATGGTGTTACATTGCATCACAAAACTTGACCACACATAGTTACCTAACTATGATGGACACTATATGCAGTGGTCAAAAGGGTCCAAGGGTCCTTAAGGCTGTAGTATTTGAATAAAGGATCCCTCAAAATCTTAACTTTAACACAAAAGGGATGACATGGACCACTTGACTTTCAGACTTATTTTCAAATACTGACATGCATCATAACTAAGAAATTATGTCCCTTAACATTTCCACTCAACGTGTATCTCATCTTTGTCAAAGTATCAATGTCATCAATTGTATATACAACAAAGGTGCTTCCATCTTCCCGAGGCAAGGAAGTTAACTGACTCTAAAAGTCCAGTTTCCACCCAGTTTTGTAATAAAACAAGTCTTTCATCACGAGGTGCATCAAATCGCTTGAGCACTTTGATTAAAAACGTGAAAAGATTTTTAAAATATGTGTCATTGTCCAGTTGACAGTACACAACTCTTGAAAATCCTGCAGTCAACAGAAATCTGCATGTTGAAATCCATGTTGTTTACAAACCGGATGTCTAGTTCGTTAAGTGATTTTGATTGGACTATGCATAGAATCCTTAATCCAGCCAAAAATATAAATCCATAATTGCAGCCTAGTTCGGCAATGGTGAAAAATGGACTTTTACAGTCAGTTAACTCCCTTGCCTCAGGAAGATGAGGTTCTTCCAAAACATCCTGTAGAATGCAATGATCCTTCTCAAGCCAAAAAGCTATACCGGTAATCATGGGTTCGAATCCCGGTTTGCCCAAAATGTGTTTCTAGGTTTTTCAGCACAATGCCCCTCATCGTGGGTTTCATCAAAGCCGTAAACGTCTGAGACCTGCAACACTTTGGGGTTTCCTCACACAGTAAGCTGACACTGTCTTATTTAGCTGGAATACTGTTAAAAGAGTTGTCAAACCCAACCTACTCACTCACACACTCAAGGGAGAAACAATGCACCCATACAGTAACATTTACCAGTTACCCCCTCAAAACACACTTCTCAAACCATGCTCAGTCTCTACCCTGCCCATGCAGTATCTCAAGACTTTAAATGAAACAGACAACACAAACCAATGATAGAAACTAACCGTTTTTGTCTACTAGTCCTTATAATGATAACATACAGCAAAACCCTTAAAAATGGCAAATTTCTACTAGTCCTTATGATACCTTAACTATTGGCCAGTTTGACAAGGACTATAGGACTAGTGCCAATTTCTAACACTGCAAACCCTGTTTATTTATTCTTGTGAACTCCTCAGGGTGTTTTTTCCATTGTGTCATGTTTTCCCACAGAAGAAAACATGGCTGTTGTTATGATAATGTCAAGGCTTGGGTTTCACACAGCTATCTCTTCTCCCAACACCTTATCAATATTCATGTGACACGCACCACTATTACCCACCAATGGATTACCTACCCTGGTGTGTTTCACTGTGCACTCTGACCTACTCAGCGCTGGTTACATATCCAGTCTTGTGTGAGCTTAATCCTCTTACCTATGGAACATTAGCCACTGCCACTTTCTCATGAAGTTGTGAAGATCCTAACAGCTTCAAGATGGCATAATGGATGTAAACGTCTTCATCCTCAACAAATTAGTATTGATTCCACAAGTTTATCAGATGTCAGTGATGATGGAGTTTTTACCAGATTACCATAGCTAATTATTGAATGTCATATAACAACAAATGCTGTCTTTTCACCGCCAGTTACAAGAGACTTACCTACTTGACAAATGAACCTAAGGATTTGTCTCGTATGATTTTGCAATTACTACGTTACTTGACTGTTAAGGATGGGAGAGTTCTAATGACATAATCTATCGCTGATTTTAGGGCTGGGACGAGTCCAAATTTACTACCTGGGTACCCACCCCGCTACTACCCGTCCTCACACGGGTACCTGCTGTAGATCTCTACTCACACACTGCCAATGTGGTCCATAACTGGACCTGTGTCACTATGGCTTGTGTCCAAAACTGAGCTGACAAACAATTGAAATACTGTCAAAGCAGCATAAAACCCTCACTCACTATTTTTATTATTATCACAGCATTACATTTTGGACAACCATCATTGACGTTTCATTGGTGGCTCTACTACAAACGACCCATGAAGATCAGGGGTAGAATAGGTCTTTAGCAATCCATGCTTGCCGTAAAAGTCGACTATGCTTGTCGTAAGAGGTGACTAACGAGATCTGGTGGTCAGGCTCGTTGACTCGGTTGATGCATGTCATCGTAGCCCAATTGTGTGGATCAATGTTCATGATATCAATCACTTGATTGTCTAATCCAGACTCGATTATTTACAGTCTGCCATCATATAGCTTGAATATTGCTGAGTGTGGCATTAAACAACAAACAAACCAAACCAAATCTAAAACAACCTGTCAAATGTGTTCTGTGGGACAAACATCTTCAACTTCCTTCAAATTTCTTGTGTCCTCTGTCAAAGTAGGTCTTAAATTATAAGTATGTCAGTGACGTTGTTGTTTCACAAGACACTAGCTTATTATTAGCTGATTATCAGATTACAACAAATGTCATCCTTTCTCCACCAGTGAGTCTCTACCCCGAGAGACTTACCTCCATGACAGGTTGACCTGAAGGAGCATGGCCAGGCCCACTTACACAAGGAAGCCCACTCGGATTAAGAACACTCACTGGAGACATCAGCTCCAGTTGCCACAAACATTGTAGCTCAAGCTAATGGCTAGGCTGTCATGTATAAAGAGTCTCCTATTCTTCATGGTTAGACACTACATTCTAAATATCGTCATGGTTGACAAAAATAGTTGTGATGGTTTATGTGGGATTAAAAATATAAACAGCTTATATCAAATTCTATTGATATTATATCAACCACTTGAGGCATTTCAGGGTATAAGAGTGTCCACTGGTTGTCATAGAAAACTTGGGAATTGGTAAATATTACTGATTATTTACATTCCACTGCAATACAACTGTAATAATGTCGGCTTCAGAAGAAAACTCACTCACTCACACAAACACAAAACATCTCCATAACATGGGGTTGACATGAGATAATATTGTGTGAGACTTACTTCAAACCCATTACTAAGTGACCTCACACAAAATTCCATAATATGTCAAACCAGTTCATGAAAGCATAAATATGAAATGAGACATCACTCCAAATGTTGCCCCTGCTCACCCATGACAAGACTTTTAATGTCTGTGTTTTTGTAGTTCAAACAAAGACAGTTTGTGCCACTTCTCATGAAGCTGTCACTGTCTGTTACAACTTCCACAACAAGAGGTCATCTATCATGACATCTAATCGTGTGCAGCTGTCATGACTCGAAGAGAAACTCATATTCCTGTTTCCCAAAACAAAGCAATTGTAATTGCCATCATGATGAATATTCATACGGCAGAAAATCACTAACAGCAAAATATTCATATTGAATCAAATTCTAAAATGTTTTGGAATTCATCACTCTCATTTCAGATGCAGCAAAGGGAAGA